TGATGTTGAGTTTATAATCTACAATTCATATATATGCATGAAAAATTATAACATTTTGTGTGGAATTTACATATTTCCACAGACAGAGCAGAGTTTTTTTTGAGGCAGTTTCATATTTGAGTGCCTCTTACATGCTTCATGATATGTGCCACATCCATCAGACAGCCTTTTTGAAAATTAAAATGATTCAAGCTAAACAATGTTTGCATATGTAGGCACATATACTCCACATAATGAGATGGCTAAGTGTGATGTTCATTTCATAAAAGCTTCTCTATCTATATGATAATGAATTGTTCAGAGAAAACAGAACTTGTGTAAATGCAGCACATAAGACATAAGGGAACAGGTGTGGCATCTATAAAATGCATCCAATTATCCAAGGATATTGAATAAAAGAAGATAAACACTGCTGTTAGCTGAATGTTATGCAAACCTGATCCCAAAATATTTTACTTAATGCAACCCTGTCGCTATACTAAACATATCTAGGCAAGTCATACCTGTAAGAGAAGATTATAAATACTTACCTTTCCTGCCAGCAATGCTGATGAACACCGCTCCATTCATGAGAAATTGTCCCCAAAGTCTGCAGGGAAACTGACACTGTGATTGTTGATCTCCTGGGCCCCCTGCAGCTTTCCATGGTTCCTCTTGGGGACCTCCACTTTATTACAGGAAAACAATAGTAACGTGAGGGCCAGCAGGAGAAGCTCATGAGGCCCATGGAGGACCAAGGAATTCGACACTCCTAGAAAAGAGTCAGTTTCCCAGCAGACTTCAGCAGACTATTTCTATCATCTGAGTTTTGGGGGAGGAGAGGCAAGTATATACACTTTTTTTTTTGTTGACAAGCCTGAAGAAGTTAAGATTAGCGATAGGGTCACTTTAAAGTCCCAAAAAATAAATCCTGTAATGAAAATATATAATACATTGTCATACCTCTCTTCAGAATCTTCATCATCGGTCACACTTCAGGGAAAGTTGGATGCTTGGCCCTCTGCTGCATGCTATGGTTCCTCCTACCAACAGTCGATGTAGCTTTTCAAGTGAATGAGGATCTAATGGCAATACAGATGAGTATCATGCCTCTTCTTTCTTTCTTTAAAGTCACTGTGAGTCATGAAGAGACACTTCTACCTTACAGTGCACCTCTAGGAAGCCCACCGACAGAAAAAAGAATTACTGAAGTAAATGTATTTTTGTATTCAATGTATTTCTTGATTCTACTTCACATCTGCTGAAAATTATAATTATTATCAGGGAAAACAAATTAGGATTTGACTCAGACTCTGGTGATTCTCATAATGTGCATATCTGCAGACCTTTTGCCAGTTTGCAGCATCAATACTTTCAGGGCTTTTGGCAGGCTCATTCATAGTGTCATACATTCCTTTCCATCCACCCCTGTGATTTTCTACACTTTTCCACAGCCATCAGAATGAATTGTGTCATCAGACACAACTCACATAAGACCATAGCAGGAACACAGTGATGACCATTTCTGAGTGCTGTGCAATGCTTTCATCAGTTACAGTCATAATCATAGTGCATGGGGACCAATTTTACCCGGTGCCCTAAATGTAACCCCCATCATTTGTGAAAACAGCTTTAATACAAGAGCTAATCGTTTTATTCCATATGTTTATTTTTCAGTTTGCAGTGACTGATAACTCTCTGTCAGTTTTGGTTATATAGAAAGGTTCAGTGTATCAGTGAATCAGGTACTCAATTGGCTATGTATGCTGCCAGTTTAAATAGAAAAATACATTTGACTGCAAGTATAATTAGGATGCTAGGTTTTTTTTTGGTCGACAAACATCCTTTTGTGTTTTTTCTTAATTCTTAGCTTGAACTGAAAACTTTCTATTACACATGTATATCTTTCGAATTTAAGGTCATAGTTATAGAAAACATATTGCTTTAGTTGTTTTAGCCTTGCAGTGAACTTTATTGGGATTGATTTATTAAAGAAGTAGAGGCCTTTTCACTTTGCAGAGTTGATGTTGGTAAATAAGGTGAACCTGTGATTACTCTATATAAACACTGATGTGTAGGGAAATTAAATAAGCAGGGGTTTTGCTACAACATGACTGGATTGTTTCAGTGAACACAGCTTTACCTCAATTACTAAGCTCATTGCAAGAACAGCATCCACCGAAACCACTTCACATTATATCTCTCACATTTCCAGAATCCCTATCCCCATAGATACATTAAAAGTTAGATATACAGTTAGGTCAAATAAAATTATCCTGCTGCTGGCTAATTTTACACAATGTATCATCTACAGCCTCTCCTTTTATTTTATTTTTTATGAACTTTTAAATGTTTTATATTTTACTTTTATTTATTTTTTTATTAAATATTTGTATTTTTTACTTTACTTTTAGGGGCTTTGGGGAAATATTAGGGGTCTAAACAGACCCCTGATATTTTCCTTTTAAAATAGAAAAAGAGATTGAGAACACAGAGTCCTCAATCTCTTTTTCTGCAGCCCCTGTAATAAATGAACAAGAATTCTCTATACTGAGTGTTCCTGTTCATTCATAACACGAGAATATAGTATGGTTACCATGTCCACAATCCACAATGAATGAACAGGAGGTGATGTAGATTTCCATTTCCATTCATAATTGGGGATATAGTAACCACACTATGTCCTCAATTATATACAAACACTCAGCGGTCACTGATGACTGAGGGTTTGTACCTCCAGGAGGCTGAGCGAGTGATGCGGGAGGTGAGCTCAGCCTCCTATGACAGCACTGGCTGTCTCCGCCCACACACCCTTCTGCCGATCGGTGTGGGAGGAGAGACGCCGGCCACTCACAGTGCTCTCCAGCACAGCTTGGCTGCCTGTGACAGTTTCTCTCCTCCCCGCTGGGACACAGAGCAGCGCCCAGAGGTTGAGGAAAGAAAGCAGGGATGCATCGCTATATCGGCAGAAAAATTGCACTTTTGGCATTTAGCCAAAAGTGCCATTTTTGGCCGATGTGTTTCAGCGGCCGATATATCAGTGCATTCCTACTGTGAGGTATTTTGTTTTATTTCCACCAACGGAGTACCCAGCTTCCTATGGCTTTTTTACAGTAGTTTGCCTATTAGCCCTAAAAATTCAACAGCAAGATTTGCATAGACTACAGTGGGATTCACCTCTAAATTCAGGATTGTAAAATTTGTAAGATTTCTGGAATTTTTGTTGAATCAAACCTGGGCAAATTTGCCCTTCACCAGTTTTGGTTATGCAGCAGCAGGTTTTTTCAGCTAAGTAGGCACATGCTCTCTCAAAAGTGCTAAATTCAATAAATAAAAAATAAATATACTGTTGAATGTGTGTGTGTCTGATTCTGTGTTATTCCTGTCATTTGTGATGAGCAGCTGACCAAAAATCATTAACAAAAAAAACACTATCATATAAAAAGAATAAAAGCAGTGGAAGTGATACTAAAACAATATTCTAGTGCCATTTCTGCTTCCCAATAAAATTGATGGCACCATTAGGGATAGTAAAGCCAGTGCATCAGCAGTCACAAGTTGCTGTTGCCTCTAAATTTGTTGCAAAGTAGAAGCAGGCCAATTAATAGCATCAATGGTTTGACCTCGTTGGCTGGAAAGCTTATTCCTCACAGCAGGATGATGAATCTGACACTTTGACTTTGAGCCAGGGCACCACTCAATCCTCTTTGAAACATCCGTCTTGTTGACAGTTCTTCATCTTAGTCTTCTCTAGTACTTTGTGTGGTGTTTCTGTTGCATGTAAATGCTGCCCTAGTGGTGGCAGCTGTAGGCTTTTCTCTCAATCGAAGTAAATTATGTTTTGGGAGTTAGGGGCTTTTATTAAAAATGTATAGATTTTTTTCAGTTTTGTCATGCAGACAGATTTAGCTTGTTTCATATATTGGCCCTATTTTTTTCAAAGTAGAACTGTGCCATTGTAAATCATGGCCCTTCCTAATTGTAGGATTTGTTACAAGTTTCCTGATGTATCCATTGTGAATATTTGAAAAACTATGACAGCGTGCTGTTTGCCATAGCAAATTCTTCAAGTTTCCACCTCACTGTTGGAAATCCATTGCTACTATGTAACTATGTAAGTAGTACTCCTAAGAATGAGATCCTAATAGGTTGGACTTGATGGACTAATGTCTTTATTCAACCTCAAATACTATGTAACTATATACTTGAGAGGTAGTCAGATTTGCACTATATATGTTCCCTTTTCTGTTGCTAACTTGCTTGATACATTTTTCAAGGTATAAAATGTAATGAAGGATTAGACCTACTGTCAAAAGAAAAGTAAAGCTTTATTCAGTAAGCTATAACATATTAGTTATTTGTCATAAAGATCATTATTTTTCATGTGATTGTTTTCTCCTACTCCGATTGACCTGTATTGCTGGAAGCAATAATTGTTGTGTCATGTCTCCCATGAGATGGCTAACAAGGTATATTGAAAGAGATCAAAAGAACCCCTAGAAAGAAACTAAACCCGAAGCCCACAAACTACAACTGCTTTTTACAGAAAAAAAAATGATTTCCTTTCAATTCAGAACATAATACACATTCTGCATTATATCATCTTTTACCCAGGGCATTGATTACCAAAGTGCATATTGCCACTTGTAGAGGCACTCTAAGGTATTTTTATCTGTTAATTCTGAATATGTTTTATGTTGGAGGACACAGCTTTTCCATTGGCATAAGCACTGCAAGATTACCTAGGATATATGCCTATGTCAGATTGGGAAGAGGGGTAGAGTTCTTAATTAAGAGGTATTTGCTTTCCTTGGACTCCAGCAAAATAGCAGCCTCAGGCAAACAGAAGCAGGAACAATGTCGGAAGCAATTTATAGCACACCCTACTTTAGTCAACATGATTATTAATGTGGAATGTATGTTCTTTGTCTAAGAACATTAATTTTTACCTAGCTGTTATGGATAACGTTCCGCTTTAAAGCCACAGCTAATAGAATCTTGTAACAGAACTTCTCACTGAGGTGGAATAATGCTCACCAAGCGTAAACTACAAAGGTCAGACAGTTGCAATTTCATCTGCTGTAACAATTTCAAAGAAAATTGCAAAACCTACCACTCAAAACTTTTATAAAACTGTTAAGACATTTACTCTATTTATGAAGCACATTTACTGTACATTTGCCTGCACATTTGCTGTACATTTGCTTGCACATTTGCTGGGTCAAGTAATGTGCACAAGTATTATTTTCTTCGGTAGGAAAAGTGTGGTTTTCTGTGCTTTTTTCCCTACTTATAACTTATACATTTTGTTCAAATGCAAGGCTGAAGTCGTTTTTAAAATTGTACCAGAGTTTAAAATTGTTTTAATTTGTCTTTTCCACATTTCTCAGTAATGTATTTTTGCCATCACATAATTTCCACGTGCTTGTTGCTAGACAGTTCATTGGTAGGGAAGTTTTTCAGCAAGTCAACATGTCTTTTCGTGTGGTCAAGACTGATGATCTGGTGATTTGTGAGGCGTTTCAGGACATTTAGTGATACAACTTGTTAGGCTCAGCCAGACAGATTTCTTCCCATATAGTAAGGATAACTTGTTACAAACTTGTGGCAGGGTGAAATTGTAATTTTTGTTAACTTGCTGCACATATTCCTGGTTGTAGACTTGCTGAACACTTGCAGCACAAGATCTAGTTGACACTTTTTGAATTTGTAGCAAATTTGCTTGGCAAGTCTACAGCAAGAGTCCTGCAGGTCTTAGCAAGAGCTCTGCAAGCTCGCTGGTCTGGAGACTTGCAATGCAGACTTGCTGAAATTGTGCAACAAAATTGTGAAGCTTGGCAAGTCTGCAATAGTTTAGCAAGTCATTTTCAAACTTGCAGCTCAATTGCTTGCTATCTGGGTTAAGATCTCATTAATTTCTTTTCGATGAGCTATCTGATGATGAGGCATTGTGGAATGTGTGGACCTTCATAACATTTTACCTTATAAAAGGGTTTGCAACCCTCAGATCCCATTCACATCAGATAGGATCCTGTACATGATCCATCTGTAACAGATTGGTCTGCACACAGCAAAAAAAGTAGATGGATGGGGGGGGG